AAAACAGACAATAAATATCAAAATATGATTTAAAAAATGCAGATCACAGGGAAACAAATCCCATAATGTAGTGGTAACATATGAATTGGACCTAAGGCTATGTGTATTTGGAATAATGTTTACCTTGCAGTGTTAAATTTACACACACTCCCCGTAAAAACAAGACAAAAAAGCTATGGGTGCATCTCTTCAAATGGGCTCTGTTATTCATGGCAGTGTTTTTCCAGAGCCACTTGATGGCAGCATTGTTCTGCACTTGCTGTGTAATAAGAGAAGCAAAATAGTAGACAATTACCACAAATTATGAGCTGCTGAAGTGTCTTGCTGCAAGGTGTTGTCTGATACCAATCTGATTAAAGCACACTGTGTGTGGGGAAAACACCAGGATTGGGTTGAGAAGACTGGGTAGTAGTAGTAGTACCTATGCCCTTCTTCTGGGAGCTGGTACATTACAGTAAAATATCCATAAAGGCACACTTGGTAAAAATGGATCTACATATCACATTAGTTTTATAGTTACCAATATTGCCAAGATGGAAGCAGCAAAATAAGATAAAGACCTTGTTCGCACCGCCTTCTGACGCAGGAAGTTCTTGCATGGTGATGGAAGGGGAGGTACAAAAAGACTGAGAGTGAGATCGCTATTATTATTCTTGGCAGCCTTATATCAACCAATCATTAACATTACCAGAGAAACAATTAGGCTTGGTCCTATCAAATCGCACGATATGGTTATTATTTATCTACCAACCTTTGAGCTAGCAAACACACTTTCCAAAGTAGGACAAAATGAAGAAAAACAAAACAAAACCACAAGAGGAGTCTAAAGGGATTAAGTGTTTCAGCCCCATTGATAAAGCATCAAGGCAAACAGTTAAGCATATAGGCCAGTTGTATAAATTTAGCAACTAGAACAACTGATTACCAGTAAATCATTTAAAACTAAAAAACCACAGTTGCTTTTTATAGATACTTATTATCAATTTGATATGTGGATGTTAAGAAATGAAAAGAAATATGTAGATGTTAACATATGAAGCCCAATAAACAACAATGACCAAAACGAAAGAAAGAATGAAAGAACAAAAGAAAGAAAGAAAGAAAGAAAGAAAGAAAGAAAGAAAGAAAGATGGTTTTGAAGGTAGAAAACGGATGTACAGTGGTACCTCGGGTTACAGACGCTTCAGGTTACAGACGCTTTAGGTTACAGACTCCGCTAAGCCAGAAATAGTACCTTGGGCTAAGAACTTTGCTTCAGGATGAGAATAGAAATAGTGCAGCGGTGGCGCGGTGGCAGAGGGAGGCCCCATTAGCTAAAGCGGTACCTCAGGTTAAGAACAGTTTCAGGTTAAGAACGGACCTCCAGAACTAATTAAGTTCTTAACCTGAGGTACCACTGTATGGGCTATCTAGTGTCACATGCATGACTATTTGACTGCAGGACAGAACCTATGAGCATGTGTTCGGTGCAGTTTGCTCCTGACACAAATACATTCTCCTGAGGCCTAGGGGTACTGAAGGAACTTGTGCATGTAATCTCAGAGCCTCTGTCTACAATCTTTGAGATTTTGTGGAGAACAGGTAAGGTCCCTGTGGACTGGAGGCGGGCAAATAACCCTCAGGGTCCCTTCCACCTGTACAATTCTGTGAAAGTGAGCAGGGCGAGAAGCAAAAGTGGGTTAGCAAGAGACAGGACTTTTACCTTTCTACAGTAGCTGCACAAAAACCTGACAGTTCCATACTACCTGCCCCATCTCCCCATCCTCCATCCATACAAGCAAGAGGCATGGTCACAGTCCAAGAACACACACATTCCTGCCAGATCAAAGTGTTCGAGATTATTATGGAGCAGAATTGATAAGATGTGTGGCAAGGGGAAAGGGGTCCTGAGGGCCAGAAAAAGAAGTCTGGAGAGATGCATTAGGAACATTGTTTTATTAGGGCTTCTGATTGTGCAGAAGGTTCTAATTGTGTTTGAGAGAACATGAGTAAAAGCCCTTTGCAGATCTTCTCCACTCAACATGGGAAGGTTGGGTACTGAGTGGCTCATGCCAAAGCATGCAGGGGACATTGAAGGTGAGGCCTGTATGTATGTCTTGTCTCTCCTCCCATTCAAACATCCCATGTTCAGGTGAATGTCTGAGCACTTTCTTGACTCCTATAGGGTTTGAGCAAAGAGAGGCCTTTTCTTATCACCCACAAAGTAATTACATGAACTTCAAATTATTATGCCACCTATTTTGAACTGCCTCCTTTTTGCGGTTTAGGGGTTCACTTCAAGTTCAAGGTAATGAACCGTTTCTAATTTACTGAATGAAACTCTCCCTGGACTGGCTTATGTGAATCAGCCACAGTTCTGTTCTCTAGTGCCCAGAAAGCAGGGGAATTTTTTGTTTCGTACTCTGACCATAGATCCTTCCTCTTCTTTTAAATCAAGAACTTCATTATATTACTGACTGCGGTGACCTGAGATGCATTAGACTAGACTTGAGGCTTCCTCTTTTTAACACACAGCTTGTTTCATTTATACTCTACTTATTGAAGACAGCAGAGTGTGAAACAGAAATTTTTAAAAGATAAGACTGAAATCAACTTGCAGCTTCATGTGTAGTTTTTAAATATTTATTCAAAAAACCCAAAATTTTCAGGTAGGTGATGCTATTATCAAACCTGCAGTTTGGAAAATCAACGTGCTTTTAATATTCATCATAAGGTAAGGAAAAGTCATTTTGTGAATGATAAATTAGCAATGTAAAAAGACATTTTTTCAAACCTGTCAAGGTAGCCATTGCTTATATTGGATCCAATGTGTTTTGTTCTCTAATGCTAAATGCTGACTTTGCGATTACAGCTTTTATAACTTGCTAGGTTTGACCAGTTCTCCCAATATAGCATACTGTACAATGAGAAGTTTTACCGTAATTGCCAGGATATTTTAGTCTCCACTGAAAGTTACAGGCTGGTTGAATAAATTCTTGCAAATGGTAAAAATAGGAAAAGTGACATTTAATGAATGAATGGAGGGTACTATATAAGGATCTTTTTGAGAATAAGTAGGACTTTGAATTACTACTATTTGATATATGCTAGAAACCTGCTGAGAATGCATTTTACTTTAAAATAATGATAATAGCTTTCCCCAAAACTGCATTCCTAGGCACACGTATCGTGTTGTCAGCCTGTTGAATGGTGAGACTGATTTCTGAGTAAACGGGCACATCTTCCTGTGAGTATTTCTCCTCCAACTTTTGTGGGCAACGAAAGGTCCCATGAAAGTATGGGTGGATATATGGGCCCAGTTTTACCCTGATCCAGCAAGACAGAGCTTTGGGCACAAGCAGGGTTCTGTGCACCTGTTGCATTAAGGTGCTCAGATCTGTGTGGTCAGAAGTTTGCCTTGGCTAGATGTCTGCAGTCAAGAATTGGGACTGAACATGAAGTCCTCAGTGTTGGATTGGGAACCATCCACACAACTGTGCACAACTGTTCCTCTCCCATTTCAAGGGAGTGGGGAGCCTTACTTGGGGAAAAGGAAGAGGGTAGCAAATGGCAGGAACTGAAGCTCCATCACAAACTCCAGAGTTTCTGAAAGGAAATAACACATCTGTGTGGGAGAAGCAGTTCCTGCAGATAGGAGTGCCCTGCCCTGCTGCCATCACCTGTGCACACTAACCTGGGAGTAAGCTGAACTGAAAAGTGGGGTTGTGATTTATGCATCTAAAATACGCAACAATCAGGCCTGAGTAAGATTCGTTGAAGGTTTGGAGCTGTACTAATTTGCAGCCCCCCCAAAAAAACCCTCACCCATGATTCTTTATAGTACAATGATGCATCACTCTAGTTAAAGGAAGGGGGGAAAATGGTGCCTGTGGTACAGCCAGTTTATTCTTCCTTCTGTATCTTCACAACAGTTATGTGAGGGAAATTGAGAGTTGGTGACTAGCCAAGGCAAGAACTAAGCAAATGTTCAAGAGTATTTTCTTTTTAATCTATCAAGGTTGATAAATTTTGTGTGTGTGTGTATTTAACTGTGTTATAAAAAAACACAGTTAGTGTGTGTGTGTGTATTTAACTGTGTTATAAAAAAACAACATTTTCTCACCCCATAGGCTAAGAATATTTTTTGTAGTCCATAAAAGCTAATGCCATGATGAAATTGATAGTCTTTAAAATACCACAAAACTTATTTTGTGGTACCATATGTTATGCATCCATGTATACATTCGTGGGGCAAAAATGTGAACAAACAAGTTAATTTGGGCCCCAGAAAGGAAGCTGCGCAAGGAGATGTGCGACTCCATTTGGTTTTGAAGTCATACTTAATCATTGAATTTTGGGGTAACACAGTGCTGATCTGGTTAAATTCTCTGACCCTAGCTTGGGGGACACAATGCACTGTTAGAACTAACTGCTTATTTCCTTTTTGGTTCTATTTTATCCCCTAAGTCCTTTGCAGAAGCAAGTAAGCCGACAACCTCATCTATCTTCTTCATCATGGGCATGGATGTGTGTGCGTGTGAAATGTACAAATTCTACTGTCTTCAAGTGAAGACACTTGAAGCGGCAACTTCTTAAAATGAAACACACAAACAAACTAAAAAGGGGATTTTAACATGCATGAGGAAGTTCTCCAACTGCCCAGAGCTTGCAGCCACACACATGAACATTATCTTTATTCAGAGTCACTGCTGCTGACAAATTTACCCAGAAATTCTAGAAAGAAGCAAAATAGGGAAAGGGAAAGGGAGTTGTCAGCAGGCTTTGGGGGAGAAAACGCTTTAGGGAGGCTGCTTTATTCTGCAGAAAACATTTCATTTTTCTCACCTGTAACAGCAATTATGAATGCTAGATATATTTCACAGATGATCGGCCTAATTGGACTATAGAATTGTATGTGTATGTGTGTGTGTGTGTGTGTATATATATATCTTTTACACTTCATTATCTTTAATAAATGTAATGATTTTTTAAAAAACCCTTCATATTTCTGCCAGGTTTTGTAGGGGTATTCAGAGCCTGTCCTGTTCCTTGCATCCAGTTTAGATGTCTGATTTTGAATAAATCTGAAATCAAGCACAATGATGAATACCTTTATTTTTTTCCTCGTTCTCATACACGGTGAGTAGGCAAAAGTTGTGTCATCTTCAATAAGTTTGATAAGTTTGTGTCAGGGTTGTGAAAGAATTGGGGTTCATAACAACTATCCTCCTTCTGGTCCATCTTTGGCACTTCTGTGTTTTCTGCTTGCTCCCTCAAGAACAAATCTTTCTTTGGTCCAATATGGCTAGTAAATTGTCATTTCTCCCCTCTTTCACTCTCTTTGCAGCCAGTTTCATATATGCTTAAGATATACTTTGGCTTTAAATTTATAAAATCAAAAAATGCAAACACAACAACAAAAATCACAACAAACAGAGTTACTCTATTGGTAACTTGGAAACTTTCTGTAAACTTAATAATATTACAGTTAATATTTAAGTCTCTTTTCCATAGTCTGAGGCAAGGATTAAATAAATTTGCTGCAGGTGCCCCTGATTTATATAGGAGGTTTCTCCAGCCACTCTGGGCGTCTTACAACTTATCTAAAAACATAATAAAAACATTAATCCTTAAAAACTTCCCTAAATAGGGACATCTTCAGATGTCTTCTAAAAGTCAGATAGTTGTTTATTTCCTTGACATCTGAAGGGAGGGCATTCCGTAGGGAGGGTGCCACTACTGAGAAGGCCCTCTGCTTGGTTCCCTGTAACTTTGCTTCTTGTAGTGAGGGTACTAGCAGAAGACGCTCGGAGGAGGACCACAGTGTCCTGGCTGAGAAATAGGAGTGGAGATGCTCCTTCAGGTATACTATGAAATATTTGAGCTTTACTTTGACTTTCACAGATAAATCTGTTAGACTTTTTCTAGGAAACTATTTTTACATTAGAGAAGATCCAGACAAAGCAGAATCTTTCAAAATATATTGGAATGGGATTAGGATTTGAGCTAGAAAGCCTCAAGGTCATCTCTGGTTCATTGACTACAGTAATACAATTCAGTTCTGGTCAGTAGAAGGACTGCTTCAGTGCTCAAGGCTGCCAAACAGGTCTAGCTTTGTTCAGTAGTTGGCTAAGTATAGGCAATTTGTCAACATAGGAATATATATATATATATATATTGTCCAGTAGCACCTTAGAGACAACTAAGTTTGCTCTTGGTATAAGCTTTCATGTGCATGCACACTTCTTCAGATAGGAACTCATAGTTTGACCCCTTCTAAAAAAATAATATTTTGTTCCATAGCCACTAGAAGATAACAGAACACAGGTAGTGTCCAGTACAGTCAAATCAAGGCTAGCCAAGGTAGAGAAAGTCAAATCGCAGCTGGCAAATCAGATTAAGGTTATTCTATACAAAGCAGAGAAAAACAGGACCTTGGATAGCGCCAAATGAACTGATGCTACAAAACCTTGCTGAAGCTTTATGTAGAATGGAAAAGTTTGTAGGGTGGTTGGCTCTACTTTCCTTGAGGAACTGGCTAAGTTTTTGATGGACTTTGACCTGATTTTACAGTATTTGACTCCTACATGCTGGGGAAACCTCCAAGGGTGAGTCCAAGCATGGTTGCAGGGCTGTATCCTCTGACTGGGAGGTTCCCTAATATACTACCAACAGTTATCCACCTGAATCTCATCCTTATTGGTGTCCTCCGTTGTGCACTGCAAGGGTTAGGGGCCATTTGGTAAACAGGGCTTAGCTTTCTCCCCCACCCCTTCTCTGGGGATGATGTCGTCCAACTGTGTCAGTGTGGGCTGAACCTGCAGTTGGGGTTGTACTAAGACTGTCTGAGGAAAAGGTTGGAGTTGGAGGGTGTCTTAGGAGCTGTGTACCTGGGTTTCCTCAAAACCAAATACAGAACTAGTATCTAGTTAGTGTGTGAAAGCTGTGAATCTCCACCCATGCGCAACCTGTATATATGTGTAAATAAACCATGCGTCATAAAACATCTCCAGTAACCCAACTGGAACTTGGGTACATGCTATACCCTTGGAGTTATCACTGTTAGAGGATTGTGTAAGAGTATGTTCCTTATTGGGAACCGTCAATGCTTCAAATGATTAACCAATTAGCAAAATATAAACATTACCAAAGCTTTGTTGGGATACTAATTCCTTGTTCAGATAGTGAATGAAGTGTGAATTAAATTGCAGTTTAATAAGCAATCATACCATTCATTTCAGTCCTGAGCTCTTCCCCATTGTGTCCCACCCATTCTACAAAATATACCTGGTAGCAGTGGCAAATTTGACCCTCAGGACTGCAGCAGCATACTGCTTGCAATGATACATGTGAGATACAATTCCCATCAATCCTTAATAGGGTCAGCAGGATCAATGGGAACTGCCTCTCACATGGAGCGACATCTCTTCCCAATCCATTCAAATCACTCCCAGCCTGGTTCAAAATGGGTTTGAATTTCACCATGACCCTATATAAATTGTCTTATTGCTCGAATAATGTGTTGATAGCTTTTGTACCCTTATTTAAAACAGTTTCAGGAACATTATATGCTCCAAGGCTGCTGATAAGCCGTGCTGGAAGATCAGTGACAATCAAGTGCTACTATGAAACCACATCAGCCAATAGACATGGCAGAAAATACTGGTGCAAGGAGTCAACCAACCGCCACTCTTGCCAGACTATCATTTCAACTAACGATTTCATTCACAAAGACTATGAAGGAAGAGTGTCAATGCATGATAGCCCTCAAAGCGGGATTTTGCAAGTGACAATGGCACAGCTGGTGAAGACAGACTCCAGTAATTACAGATGTGGCATTGGCAACAAAAATGCTTATGGTTTTTATGCTGGAGTGAATCTAACCATTTGGGAAGGTAAGCAAGCCGTTGGAATCCAAACAACTTTTTTCAAAAACTGAAGGGCTATTTTAACAATTAGTTTTGTTTCTGGGGTCTTGATAATAATAATAATAATAATAATAATAAATTTTATTTATATCCCGCCCTCCCCAGCCGAAGCCGGGCTCAGGGTGGCTAACAACAATAAAACAGTACAAAAGTACAGCATAAACAACATTCTAAAATCATTCATTCTAAAATTAATTAATTCAAGCCACTGGCAACCATTGGGCCAGTGATGGGATAATTTTGCCTGCTTTTTCTTTTTTTGGGTGTGTAGGGTGTGTGTTTTGTGTCTGTTGGTCTGTGTTTTAGTCTGTGTGTATTGGTTCTGTGCATGGGGTTTTTTGGGGTAGGGGGAGGAGAAGGATCTGAGTATTGCTTCTTTGTTTTTCTTTTAAATGGGTATTTTGTGTATCTACAACAGGCATTTCCAAAACTGGAAGGCAGTTGCTTTGCCGCCTATTCTCTAAACAAACCAAAACCGAAAGTGCTATTAGGGATATCCTGGTTTAGAAAAAGCAAAACAAATATATATTTGGGTAAAATTCTATGCTAAGAAGTTAGTTCAAAAGACTTCTTGGCAGAAATCTGGGATTGAGATCAATCACTTTCCAGTTCTGCTTTTGCCTCACTTTTCTCTATTAACCTTCAATAATCATGGCTCTTTAAGCTTTCTCTTATCTGTACTCTAATGTGGAGCCATTAGCTATAGATACAGTTTTCCATTTACAGTTGTTCAAAGGGCTAATAACCCACCTGAAAAATGTAGAGGCAAACAAGGCTTTCAATAAATTGATAGGTGGATGAGGACAAGCCCAGCTTTTGCATGTATTTGGGTTGCTTAAGTGTTTTAAATGAAAAAGTCTGTTTACATTTTGTGCCTGCTTGATTGTTGTTTTATAATTAATAATTTAATTCCTGTCCTGTCCTTTCTTACAAAGGAGTCCAGGGTGGCAAACAACAAACTAGCAAAACAATACAATTACATTAAAAAAATTAAACATTTTAAAACAGGCACATATCCTCACAGCTAATGATCTTAAGGAACAGCGTCTTTCAGTCACCAAATGCCAAGGTGAACTGCAACATTTTAAAATTCCTCCTCAATGTTAATAATGAGAGAGACAGATATGCTTGACCAGGGAGGGCATTCAGCAAATAGGACTCAGCCTCTGAGGAGACCCTATCATGGGTCAGTGTGAACTGTACAGCACCCAACAGAAACACCACCAACTGGGCCTCTCCTGCTGATTGTACCAATGATGTGCCAATATCATTGATATTGGTAGAGGTGCCCTTGACTTCTTCCCTTTCTCTAGTAAAATACCTTTTTATATTGGCTGTAGTAGGTAGTAATGATTCTTTGAAAAATTGTTTAAGACTGGGGGAGGGGGAGATAGTAATAAATGCTTTTATTTATTTTCTCCAAACAGGTCCAAATATGCCAAAATCACCTGAAATACTTTGGGGTAAAGTGAGAGGGTCAGTGATGATCCAATGCCCAGTGGAAACTGCCAAGTCAAGCATGAGGAAATCCTTTTGTAAGATGAGGAGATCTGGCTGTTCTCTCATAGCAGATACTAGCATGAATAAGGGAAAACAGCAAGAAGGAAGAATTATTTTTACTGCTGGAAATAGCTCAGAAACTTTCAGAGTCTTCATAAACAAACTGAGAAAAGAAGATTCAGGAATGTATAAATGTGGAACAGGAACGTCTGATGACAATGCAAGCTCAAGCATCATACAACTGGAGGTCACAGAAGGTAAGCAGAGAAGTAAAATGACAAAATGACAAATGTCATAATGGCCTCTGCAAATATGGGAGATAATCCTCTTCAGAGCTTCAATGATCCTTGGGCATGGGATTGGTTTTAGGGGATGCAGAATGCCTTGCTCCTCTCCTTGCTAGCCCCAACCCAAAGCAGTGGGAAGTTCATTTTTCAAATTTGCTTTTCTTCCACCTCCACTTCTAAGCCAGGCTGGCTGAGGGCTTGTTTCTGCTGTTACTTTTCTGGTCCAATTAGTGACACTAAAAGTCTTCTATAAAACCAAGCTGCCCACGAAAGAGTGTGCTGGCAGAACTAGACACACAGTTTTGCAAAAATGTTTGCTCAAGTATTATTATTTCTAAAAGCAATTACAAAATTACAGTGCTTCTGGAAACCACCTGCCTAAAGGGGTTGTAAAATGCAAAAGAACATTCCTTGCCAAAACATTTAGCTTTTCCTTATCTTAGCAGCTCATCTGATAAACTCGTCAAGTCTAGACACTTCCACTGTATAGGGAATCACATATTAATCACAGCGTATTAAGTGAAGTCTAGCTTCAATTGACGTTTTCTACATGACCCTATATGGGTCCCTTTCTGCTGGTACCCAATAAATTTTCGGAAATTGCTAAATTCTTTTTCACAACCTTCTCTCATGGTAAGAAGTCCCACAGCATCTGTGCAACCGAAAAGCTAGGGGGTGGGGCAGGCAAGCAAGGAAGCACTGAGCAGGTTGCAGCACTAAAAGTGGTCCAAGACCTACTGTTTAAGACTGCTCTAATCTTCCATTGCGGGAGGCAGTGGAAGACAGGAGTGCCTGGCGTGCTCTGGTCCATGGGGTCACGAAGAGTCGGACACGACTAAACAACTAAACAACAACAACAATCCTATAGAATCATAGAATCATAGAATCATAGAATCATAGAGTTGGAAGAGACCACAAGGGCCATCGAGTCCAACCCCCTGCCAAGCAGGAAACACCATCAGAGCACTCCTGACATATGGTTGTCAAGCCTCTGCTTAAAGACCTCCAAAGAAGGAGACTCCACCACACTCCTTGGCAGCAAATTCCACTGTCGAACAGCTCTTACTGTCAGGAAGTTCTTCCTAATGTTTAGGTGGAATCTTCTTTCTTGTAGTTTGGATCCATTGCTCCGTGTCCGCTTCTCTGGAGCAGCAGAAAACAGCCTTTCTCCCTCCTCTATGTGACATCCTTTTATATATTTGAACATGGCTATCATATCACCCCTTAACCTCCTCTTCTCCAGGCTAAACATGCCCAGCTCCCTTAGCCGTTCCTCATAAGGCATCATTTCCAGGCCTTTGACCATTTTGGTTGCCCTCCTCTGGACACGTTCCAGTTTGTCAGTGTCCTTCTTGAACTGTGGTGCCCAGAACTGGACACAGTACTCCAGGTGAGGTCTGACCAGAGCAGAATACAGTGGCACTATTACTTCCCTTGATCTAGATGCTATACTCCTATTGATGAGGCCCAGAATTGCATTGGCTTTTTTAGCTGCCGCGTCACACTGTTGGCTCATGTCAAGTTTGTGGTCAACCAAGACTCCTAGATCCTTTTCACATGTACTGCTCTCAAGCCAGGTGTCACCCATCTTGTATTTGTGCCTCTCATTTTTTTTGCCCAAGTGCAATACTTTACATTTCTCCCTGTTAAAATTCATCTTGTTTGTTTTGGCCCAGTTCTCTAATCTGTCAAGGTCATTTTGAAGTGTGATCCTGTCCTCTGGGGTATTAGCCACCCCTCCCAGTTTGGTGTCATCTGCAAATTTGATCAGGATGCCCTTGAGTCCATCATCCAAGTCGTTGATAAAGATGTTGAATAAGACCGGGCCCAAGACAGAACCCTGTGGCACCCCACTAGTCACTCTTCTCCAGGATGAAGAGGAACCATTGATGAGCACCCTTTGGGTTCGGTCAGTCAGCCAGTTACAAATCCACTGAGTGGTAGCATAGTCAAGACCGCATTTTACCAGCTTCTTTACAAGAATATCATGGGGCACCTTGTCAAATGCCTTGCTGAAATCAAGGTAGACTACATCCACTGCGTTCCCTTCATCTACCAGGCTTGTAATTCTGTCAAAAAACGAGATCAGGTTAGTCTGACATGACTTATTTTTCAGAAATCCATGCTGACTATTGGTGATCACAGCATTCCTTTCTAGGTGCTCACAGACTGTTTGCTTAATGATCTGCTCCAGAATCTTCCCTGGTATTGATGTCAGACTGACTGGGCGGTAATTATTTGGGTCCTCTCTTTTCCCCTTTTTGAAAATAGGGACAACATTTGCCCTCCTCCAGTCTGCCGGGACTTTGCCTGTTCTCCAGGAATTCTCAAAGATGACTGCCAGTGGTTCTGAAATCACATCTGCCAGTTCTTTTAATACTCTTGGATGCAGTTCATCTGGCCCTGGAGACTTGAATACATCTAGACTAGCCAAGTATTCTTGTACTATCTCCTTAGTTATTCTGGGCTGTGTTTCCTCTGCTGAATCATTTGCTCCAAATTCTTCAGGTCGGGCATTGATTTCTTTATCGGAGAAGACTGAGGCAAAGAAGGCATTGAGGAGTTCAGCCCTTTCTGTGTCCCCTGTTTGCATTTCACCATCTTCTCCTCTGAGTGACCCCACGGTTTCTTTGTTCTTCCTTTTGCTACGAACATACCCATAAAAGCCTTTTTTGTTGCTTTTAACCTCTCTAGCAAGCCTGAGTTCATTTTGTGCTTTAGCTTTTCTGACTTTGTGTCTACACGTGCTGGCTATTTGTTTGAATTCCTCTTTGGTGGTTTCCCCCCTTTTCCATTTTTTGTACACATCCTTTTTAAATCTTAACTCAGTTAAAAGTTCTTTAGATAGCCACCCTGGCTTCTTTAGGCACCTTCCATGTTTCCGTCTCATTGGTATTGCCTGAAGTTGTGCTTTTACTATCTCCCTCTTAACAAACTCCCAGCCATCTTGAACTCCCTTTCCTTTTAGTATTACTGTCCATGGGATCTCACCCAGCACTTCCCTAAGCTTTATGAAGTCGGCTTTCTTAAAGTCGAGAAATTGAGTCCTAGTATGCTTGGCTGCTCCTTTCCGCTGTATAGTAAACTTCAGAAGAGCATGATCACTCGCGCCTAATGATCCTTCCACTTCTACCCCACTAACCAGGTCATCAACATTGGTTAGGACCAGATCTAAAATGGCTGTTCCTCTTGTTGCTTCTCCCACTTTCTGGACAATGAAGTTGTCTGCAAGGGCAGTGAGGAATCTGTTTGACCTTATGCTCTTGGCTGAGTTTGACATCCAACAAATATCCGGGTAATTGAAGTCCCCCATTGCTACTATCTCCCTTCCTTTTGCATGCTTGGCCATCTGTTCCAGGAAGGCATCATCTATGTCCTCCGTTTGGCTTGGGGATCTATAGTAAACTCCCACAATGAGGTCACTGTTATTCTTCTCTCCCTTAATTTTGACCCAAATGCTCTCACTTTGGCTTTGAGGTTCTAAATCTTGGATCTCTTCACAGGTATACACATCCCTGACATATAACGCCACTCCTCCTCCTTTCTTGTCTGGTCTGTTTCTTTGAAATAGATTGTATCCCTCCATTATTACATTCCAATCGTGGGATTTATCCCACCAGGTTTCAGTGATTCCTATTATGTCATATTTAGTTTGCTGTACCAGGAGCTCAAGCTCATCTTGTTTATTTCCCATGCTTTGCGCATTAGTGTACAGACATTGAAGTCCATTAATCATTCCCCCGTGTCTCTTATTTAAGGATTTTCTCCTCCCACCACTAGGTCTGCATGCTCTTTGCTCCATTCAGTCTATGACGTTTGGATGATCATCTACATCAATTGATAGACTCCTACCTTCAGGAGCACTGTCTCCCTCCCCCACATTAGTCAGTTTAAAGCCCTCCTGATGAGGTTTCTGAGATTTTTTGCAAAAACATTCCTCCCAACCATTGTGAGGTGCAGCCCATCGCTTGCCAGAAGTCCATCTTCAAGAAACTGCATTCCGTGATCTAAGAATCCAAACCGTTCCTGTTTGCACCATTTGCGAAGCCAGTTGTTCACTTCCACTATTTTTCCCTCTCTCCCTGGGCCACGTCGTTCAACTGGGAGGACAGATGAGATGACAATTTGTGCATTTAATTGCTTCAATTTCCTGCCCAGAGCCTCGTAATCTCTTTTGATCTTCTGGAGGCTATTGCTTGCAGTGTCATTGGTTCCCACATGAACCAAGAGGAAGGGGTATTTGTCAGTGGGTTTTATGATTCCTTGCAGTCGTTCAGTTACATCTTGGATCTTAGCCCCGGGGAGACAGCACACTTCCCGAGACATCTTGTCAGGCCCACAGATCACTGCTTCTGTTCCCCTCAGTAGGGAATCCCCTATCACCACTACACGCCTCCTCTTAGGTCTGGTCGGGGTTCTTCTGTGAGCTGTCGGTTCCAAGGTCGCCTGGACATTCCCAGAGGACTGCCTTTGCTTCTCGTCTTCATATACCTGATCGACTGTAATGAGGGAGAGATCCTCAAATGGAGTCTGCTCTTCGTCTTCCATGCTAGGGGAAAGGACCTCAAAGCGATTGCGTATTTCTAAACAATCAGAGCGAACCCTGGGCCTCCTACTTCTTTGAGTCACGTTTCTCCATATATCTGGCTCCTGTGTTGGTGAACTAGCCACCTTCTCAGGGGAGTCCCCTGTCTCTTCCTATAGGCTTGAAACCACTTCCATGTGTCTGATTGTTGGTAATGTTCCTGCCCTGAGCAGTGTGGATATACTCAGAGGAAGTTGAGGAGTCACAGACCTTGCCTGAGCATATACTATTTTAATGTAAACCCACCATGGGGGGCTCTCAGTTGAAAGAGTCTGCTGCTGATTAAAATCCCTTGCCTTTCTGTGTGTGGCTAAATTTGTTAGAACAGGCAGGGCCGTTTCTAAGAGAAGTTGTTCCAAATCCCTCTGGTGAGCTGTTGCCATGATACCTGTGCTCTGCTTTCTCAATCAGGGTTCTAGGGGAACATGAGGCATGTATGATAGCACGTGGTTCCTGGCAGGTGTGCAGAGGTGCACTTGAATAAAATATGGGGGGAGGGGAGGGCAAGTAAGTAAGTAATAGATCACAAGATGCAGTGTTTGCACACCATTTTATCCCTTTTAAACTGGGCTGCTCAACTTTGAATGGTGAATATTTTATTGGGGAGGAGGGGCAAAGGGAACTTGGCCCCTAGGAGTTGTTGTTATTATTATTTATAGAATTTATATACCGCCCTATATCTAGAGGTCTCAGGGTGGTTCACAGAATAAAATCAAAATATAAAACCACAAAATACATAATTGAAATAAAAACAATGGCCCAATAACTCCCCTCCCCCCAAACCCCCACATTTTAAAAAGGCATAGGATGTCAATCAAATCAGCAAAAGGCCTGGTTAAAAAGGAACATTTTGCCTGGCGCCTAAAGGTGTATAATGAAGGTGCCAGGCAAAGAGTTGGCTCTTAGGTAGGGTATGTGTGTGTTGGGTGGGGGACAGTGGGGAGGTGGTGCATTTTAAAAATGAATGTAGAGTACAAATGATTCCCTGTGCATGGGCGACTAGATTTTAGGATGGAAGGAAGGCTATAACTTTCTCCATGACCTCCCTTTTTAATGTGGAAGGCAGGGATGTCCCACCCATGTGGCATACTGAGGAAACTGTCTTGGGTGGTGGAACTCTAAGTGGCGGCACCCCCACGGCCACCCTGCCACCTCATGAGATCTTTCTGGAACCCGCTGCCACCGCCACTTCACAGGTGCTGCCACGCAACCCAGGTAAGAGAGGATTTGGTGGTTGCAGGTGCCTTTGGTGGCAGGGCAGCAGCGGGGTGGGGTGGCAAAATGGGAAAGGAGATTATAGATAGATAGGCAGATAGATACACAATGTGTGATCAGGTGAGATTCCCCACATTCCCTGTAGTCTGAAGTGGTATAGCTCAAATATATATTACTATCTTAATAAGGCCTATTACTTCACCCTAGGGGTACTTTTTGTAGCATTGCCCTTTATGCCTGCACAGTGAATCACATGCAGACATCCAATCTGGGGTCCCACAATAGCATAAAGCTCAATTCTAAGTGGATTTCAGGTGGTGAGATAGCTTGCTATGCGCAGGTCTGGCCCAATACATTTTGCCACATGGGACAAAAGACAAGATGGTTCCTTCACCTTTTGATGCACAGAAGGCAACTTGGCCTGCAGTTGGATGTGATTTCAATTCTGTCAACAGCAGAACATCACTCAGTGCTTCTGAGAGGATTAGGGTGATCACGGGGGGGGGGCAGGATAGGATACACACAACCAGAAGGGTACAGCCAATAGGGTTCAGGAGAAACAGCCAGTGGGTTTCTGCTGCCCCCGAGCACCTGCTGCCTGAGGCAGCTGTCTCACTCTGCCTAATAAAGCTGGCCCTGATGAAGTGAAACCACTGGCAGCTGTTGCAGAAAGGTGGTGGATATCCCTCTTTCTGGTCAATGCTAGGTGGAATAGGACAGTGCTGCCCCATACAACTGTACAGTTGCTGAGTTGATAGCATCTCTGGAACGGATGCTGCTGGCATCAGAAGGGCCAACTAGCCATGTACCAACTGTGCAGCATCTTCCATGGTACTGGCTGCGGAGCCTCCACTTACTCGACTGCCTCCTGGAGTCAAAAGGTAAAGGTGAGAAGGACCCAGTTCCTACATTGCCATGCTGCAGCCTCTTTCAGCTTCATCCAGCAAAGCCTTGGCCATCGTTCTTCTGACAACTCCCTCTGAATTCCAGTTAATAGCACTGAAATACAGTTCCCATAATCCCCACTCAACATGGTCAATGATCAGGGCCAGTGGATGGGAGTTGTGGTTCAGCAACATCTGTGGGGCTACAAGTTGGCCACCCCTGGTGTAGGAACATTCAAGAGCATCTTGATTTTCAATGATCCTCAATTACAGAATCTTTTTCCTCCTAACAGAATTGGTTTTCTTCAATATCGTAAATGATACGGCAACCACATATGAGCCACAAACAATCTGGACATCCCCCCAAAGTTATGTGACAGCTACAAATGAAGTTTACAAGCAAAGGTAAAGTTAGAAGATGCCTTGTCTAGTTTAAGCACATGCTCATGCTCAGTGGCATCCAGCCATTCCTCTAAAATTTACCGTAAGTTTAAAAAAATGTCATCCAACCAGTCTGAAAAATAGGCGCCAGCACTTCCAGAGGGTAGTTTAGCAGCTGATGCCAAGGAAAGAATGAGAAACTGATGCAAACTAATGTGCTGAATCTTCCAGTTAAAATACTAACATGTGTAAGTGGGGGAGAGCTGCTAGTGTTCTGCACACTTAATATATGAACTGCAGTTTCCCAAAATAGCCAGTCGAATGCTTAGAAAGGAAACGTTGAAAAAGAATTATGCATTGCAAGAAATAAGGATGAGCCAGTAGATGGCACTCCTTTCACTGGTATTAAGGCTTATTACACTGCTGCAAACGTTATTTCAAACAAAACAAAAAACAAAAATGCAAGGTCCATAGAGAAATTAGACACAATTGATGAACTTATGGGTGGTGAGGGTGCAATTTTGTAGACTGGGTAGAAATCGGAGCAATCATCAAAAGGGTGGGGAGGCAGTAATAAATGTTTGTGTGTCCTGTGCGTTTCTCTCTCTCTCTCTCTCTCTCTCTCTCTGTGTGTGTGTGTGTGTGTGTGAGAGAGAGAGAGAGAGAGAGAGGGAGAGAGAGAGAGAGACTGGTGGTTGTACCCACTTTTTGCCCCACCCTCTGCTAGATTGAAGTCTCTGAAGGGTTAGCTAAGGATGACTGTGGCTCTATTGTAAAGGGCAAAACATGCCAATTCCCCCCACAACACAAGGGTAATTTTGAACTCTTTTGTCCCAAGTCCTAAAGGTAACAAGGATCTTTAGAACACCAGACTATCTCTTATCTCCAGTGCTTTTTTCCTGGGGGTACATAGGGGTACGCATACCCCTAAACATTTTTGTGAATCTAAATTTGGCCTCATTAAGGGGCAGTATTTCAATATGAGTAGGAAAATGAGAGTACCCCTAAAATATTTTTTTTAAGTAAAAAACCACTGCTTATCTCCAGAAATAACCTGGTGAGCCCCACACTCATGCTATATTTGGGACTCTTGTTATCATGAGATGCCCTCAGAATGCTTTTAACCAAGTATTTTAACTAGCCAGTAATGCTTAAGGCATCTGTAGTGTAGGGGCCCTGTCTGTGGACACCCCCCCTTTCTCTCACCAAGGTGAACTCCCGAACTCCTTTTGATCCCACTGGGTGATGCTCCTTTGAGGCATTGCTTGCCAGCTTCTACCCCTTCTGATCTGTTTTTACTTCCTCTCTTCCCTACTTATTCAATCTCCCCCATCTTCTTGTCTCCCTTTTATCCTGGGCTGCTCAACTTCTCCTCCTCTGCTACTTGTCCTTACTATCTCCTGCTTTTTCTTCCCATTTCCCCTTACCTTGGGACCTGCTACTGATGTGCTAAGGTAAAGGTACCCCTGCCCGTACGGGCCAGTCTTGACAGACTCTAGGGTTGTGCGCCCACCTCACTCAAGAGGCCGGGGGCCAGCGCTGTCCGGAGACACTTCCGGGTCACGTGGCCAGCGTGACAAGCTGCATCTGGCGAGCCAGCGCAGCACACGGAAACGCCGTTTACCTTCCCGCCAGTAAGCGGTCCCTATTTATCTACTTGCACCCGGGGGTGCTTTCGAACTGCTAGGTTGGCAGGCGCTGGGACCGAGCAACGGGAGCGCACCCCGCCGCGGGGATTCGAACCGCCGACCTTTCGATCAGCAAGTCCTAGGTGCTGAGGCTTTAACCCACAGCGCCACCCGCGTCCCTACTGATGTGCTACCATTTACCAATTTATCATCTGGCTGGTTGGGGGTTTCCATCTTCACCACAGTGTTGCCCCACCCTGTCCTTTACAGTCTGCCTAACTTACCTTCCAGGCAGGCAGCAGAACCATTGGAGTGATGAAGAAACTGGCACTCCCAGCACCAAGGTTTCACCCCAATCAACTCTGCACTTTTTATAAACAATATTGATATCTTTTTCATTGTGATGCTTACAATAAAATAATTTTGCTTGGACCATAAGGAGAAAAAGTAAAATAAATACCCACCCCATCCTGTACAAAAGATGAATGCCATTGCTATTAAGGCCCTCTACTTCTCACTCACAATTCCTTCCTGAGCCATTCCTGTTTCCCTGTTGACATCCTCTTGGTCTGTTACTTGAGATTTTGGCTCCTGCCTTCCCTCTGACTCATGATGGCAACTTATTGGTCTAATGTTTGGGCTGCTAACTTGTATGAGCTGCTCCTGATCCCTGCACTGGCACCAAAAGAGATAGATGTGTAACAGACATCCACCAGCCACTGGGGAAGTAAAAGTTTACACATGATGACAAGCAAAAAAGCAAAAAGCAAAAAGCAAAAACACAAAAAAGCAAAAAAGCAAAAAAAGCAACAACTCTTTTTTGTACTATGTCTATTTTTAGGTTGTCTGAAACTGAACTAAATCTACTTCCAATTGTCATACCAATTTTGCTTGGATTTCTTGTTCTGGCTGCAGCTGTTATCATTGTATTTCTTAAGATAAGGAAGCGAAAGAAGGGTGGTAAGCAAAGCCGTCTATTCTCTTGGTGCTTTTGTGCATTTGGTTCTTGTTGGGGCAGCAAAATATGGCACAAAACAGCCCTTGCTGGCATCATGTTCTGTTTTCATTCCCAATGGATGCAGGTTGGCTAGATCTTGCTGGTCCAAAGTGTGTCTGATTTAAGCTGGAGCATTTGTCTATGTATCCATTATATCAATGCACTTGAACCACAACTTTCACAAGGACACTGGCTATAAATCATAAAATGCATTTCCATTGTAGTTGTGCAATACCAACAGTACTGTACGAGCCTATTCTTTCCTTAGAAGTAAGCCCTACTGAGCTCAATGAGGTTTAATCCCAGGTAAGCAGGTATAAGATTGCAACCTAAGTGCTAAAAACATAATTCCCAAAAGGTATATAAGGAAACAGCAGAAGGGCAAGAACATGTTTCTTCAAGGCCTGGCAGCATAAGACTTTAACCTTAGAAAAATGAGGTGAAAGAGCTACAGTAGCAACATGGGCCTTATAAGTGACAGTGTTTTAAAGCTGGGTTGCCACTACCAAAAAGGCCACACTTCTTCTCTCAGCCAGGACAAGCACCTGGAGGAAGCTCTCAGCAAAATGTCCTCAGTTCCTGAGGACATTGGTAAGGCAAATTCATTCTCTAAGGTATCCTGGTCCCAAGCCATGTGGAGCTTTAACAACAGTACTTTGACTTTAACTCAGAAACAAATGGGCAGGCAGTTCTCTCAATACTGGCACAATATGGCTTGTAAAACTACCCCCAATTAGTGATTGTGCAGCTGTACATTGGACCTGCTGAATTTTCCAAACCTGCTATGCAGTAGTCTAATCTAGAAGTTACCACCATGGCATCTATGATAGGTGCAAACTCTCCCTTTTCCAGAAGAGGGTGCAGCTGGCAAATCAATAGAAACTGGAAAAAAAGGAATATTTAGTTATCGAGGAGCAGTACTGGCTTCAAGAATGCCCCTCTGCCCCAAATCTTGTGTACCTGGTTCTTACAGGGAATGTGATCCTATTCAGAAAAGGCAGAGCACGCACCACTCCTGGTTTCTTAGGTCTCCTGTCTTCAGTAAGTAGTGTGACTTATCTGGTGAGGGCCTAAGTTGTCCATGATTTTTGCCTCAATAGAGAGGTAGAGAGCCAATCTCAGTTTGTTTCATTGTTAAATGTCAGAAGCAGTAGTGGTATGTGATGGACCCAGAGTACCATCAGTGGTGGTGGTGTGACATTTGCCAGGACAGGATGGGTGGGGGCAAAGCATTGCTTTTAAGATGTTCAAAGCACAAGCTATTTGCACATGAATATTATTTTGCTCACTGGCTTCTCTGGGAGAACTCTCACTGCCAAATCTAGTAAACCTGCACAACATATTGAAACACCAATTTATTTTGAGACTAGTGGTATGTCTTCTTAGCCACAGAAGTTACCCCAGTAGTCAATGGATGAAAATGTAATTATCTGTTGGGTTTTTACCAAAAGCTTCAAATGACATTCCTGCAATAAACCCCGAAGGAGCAATAGCACTGGCTGGCCGACATTGTTCAGGAGAAGGACCCATGGAAGAGCAAATAGGCTCAGCGGACGAACAAGAATCTGCCCTAGACTCTGAAAAAGGTATGTGTTCTTTCTGCTTCTGTGACTTAAATTTCCTTTGTTAGATGAATATCAATAATATTAACCTCCTTCCCAAAATGTTGGCCACAATCCATTGCACAATTGTGTACAATGGGCTTCTCTCTCTCTCTCTCTCTCTCTCTCTCTCTCTCTCTCTCTCTCTCATTGTTTCTGCATGCAAAGAAATATGTGAGGGGCAGTGATGGAACACCCCCTTCAGCACATCTCTTTTATTGTGTTTTATTTATTGAGTCTGAGGGTGAAGGTTTGAAGCAGAGAGTCTTCCCTCCTCTATGCATGGAGATTCCCCGTGGGATTTAGAACCTTGCAAAATCACAGTTTCATAGTTCTGGTGCATGGCTCCCATCTGTTTAAACCCTTTTGCCCTCATTTTCAATATCTTTTGTAATAAGGAGGTTCTGATATAATTACTGGATGACTAAATTTTTTAAAAAGAAGAAGCTATGAACAGCAATTTATTATGTTGAACTGACTGATATAGTACAGTTCTTTGGTGTCTTACATTAATTTAAAGCTACTGCTTTGCGTGGGGTTGTTATGATAGGATACTATTAATGCTCAAATGGTATTAAAGTTTCTCGTGGCTGTAGAATATTGAAATCTGGAGTCAGGGTATATTGATCACATGGAAACTACTGAATAAAATAGCAAAAATGAGGCTGAGGTGGTTTAAAAAAAAAATCTTTGCGGAGTTGGTGGTTGTCAAGCCATCCTGTTTTGGACCATGTTCAAGTACTTTAGAGACAAGTATATAAAAGTAGTTCCAAATAATTTAGCTTCTATAATATAACCTAATTTCTCTCTCTCTCTCTCTCTGTTTTAGTTGAGGTCCCAGTTGAAAATGAATATTCCTTGCTCAGCCATGGGGCAAATCCCGAAGACTTGAGAGAAACTGATTGACTGCCTTTTCAATTGAGGTTGCATATAGTTAACAGAGAATTTTCAAAGCTTGCATTATGTAATCTATTCTATGTCTAAGCAGCAGTCATTCTGCATTATATTGTCCCCTTCTGATATTGACATAAAATTATATCAGAAATACAATGTGAGGTACACCTCTTATTAGTTTTAAAGTAGTCACCAGGACCTAGACACCTATAAGGCTTCTAATTCTGTGTTCACCCAATGAGTCTTTGCATTATGCGTGTGCCTTTGGAAATTAGGGGAATTTTCAAAAGCAGTTTGTGCTATGACATGAGATGATGTTCAGAATTGGGGGTCAGTAGTCCATGGGGTCACGAAGAGTCGGACACAACTAAACGACTAAACAACAACAATTAAAATATATATGGTTATGTGCTAGATCTTGGGTGCGTCTCAGATCACTCTCTGGATCCTTGCTCTTGTGATCATCTTAGCCATGATTCATATACAGTGATACCTCGGGTTACATACACTTCAGGTTACATACGCTTCAGGTTACAGACTCCGCTAACCCAGAAATAATACCTTGGGTTAAGAACTTTGCTTCAGGATGAGAACAGAAATCGTGCTCTGGCAGTGCAGCGGCAGCAGGAGGCCCCATGAGCTAAAGTGGTGCTTCAGGTTAAGAACAGTTTCAGGTTAAGAACGGACCTCCAGAACGAATTAAGCACAGTGGTACCTCAGGTTAATTCGTTCTGGAGGCCTGTTCTTAACCTGAAGCACCACTTTAGCTAATGGGGCCTCCTACTGCCGCCACGTCACCAGAGCATGATTTCTGTTCTCATCCTGAAGCAAAGTTCTTAACCCGAGGTACTATTTCTGGGTTAGCGGAGTCTGTAACCTGAAGTGTATGTAACCTGAAGCGTATGTAACCTGAAGCATATGTAACCCGAGGTACCACTGTACTTAATCCGAGGTACCACTGTATGAGTTTTGTATTGAGAGAGGTGATGTCAGGAGCCGGAGTCAAACATAGGTCAGCAATAAAAGACATGGTGTCAGTGTTTCTTTGTTCAAAGAAACCAAAACAGTGCAGGCCTAGTGACCCTAGCAACTCTTCCCAGTAGGTCTTGCTCCGATGAGGCAGTTGCGAGGATTGAAGGTCCCCGCCTTCCCATTGCTCTCAAAGACACCTCCTTTCCAGGGTGTTTCCCAAGCAGTCACAAATGGCACCTGCACACAACCAATCTCTGCTCTTTTCATTTCTCTGTGTGTTCTAGGAGACCAGGGCAGAGGAAAGCTGGTTGCAGCAGGAAAGGGAGACTCCCTGGATTCTTCAGCAGCCTGTCTCAGCTCTGCCTCTTTGGCCAACCTCCTCTCCAGCTTCTGCTTCTGCCTCTGAGTCTGAACCGCTCTCTGCCACAGCTTCTTCCTGCTCATTAAACCCAGTTACCTCTTCTGCTTCTGACACTTCCTCCTCCTCCGATTCTGCTCTTTCTTCTGCCTCCGGCCTCCCATTGTCATCCCACCCCCACTCCCCTAGCTCTGAACCTTCTTCCCCTGAGGGTTTCCTTCGGCTTCCCCCCAGCTGGTGCCCCCCCTTTTGCATCCAGTCAGTCCGTCACAGGTGACCACAAAATTATTTGGTTAACTGAGTTTCATGTGGTGGCTTTGTTGCTCAAATGCAAATAGTGAGAGCTGATGTAGAAGAGCTGTGGTTCAGTGGCATGAAACAGATTTCAAGCCATTTCCCTGGCATTTCCAGATATGATTGGGAGAGACTCCCTGTCTAAAACCACTTTGAGGTTTTGTTTTTATAATAATATAAAATGCTTTTATATATAAGTATATAATTTTTATGAAATAAATAAATAAAACTCCCGGGAGCCAGTGCTTTCCAGTGGACAATAATGAGTTAGATGATTTTACTCCAGTGATCTTACTCCAGCAGGGGTCAGCAAACTTTTTCAGCAGGGGGCCAGTCCTCCGTCCCTCAGACCTTGTGGGGGGCCGGACTATATTTTTTTTTTTGGGGGGGAATGAATGTATTCCTATGCCCCATAAATAACCCAGAGATGCATTCTAAATAAAAGGACACATTACACTAATGTAAAAACACGCTGATTCCTGGACCGTCGGCAGGCTGGATTTAGAAGGCAATTGGGCTGGCTCTGGCTCCCAGGCCTTAGTTTCCCTACCCATGCTCCAGAGGATAAGGCAGCTTCCTATGTTCTTATATGGATAAAAGCAATGGAGCTGGATTAGCTCCAGGATGGCAACTAAATACTAGCAGGCAGCATATGAAAGGAATGTGGTGAAATCACCTTTTGACAACTTCAATATATCTAAAAGTAACATATGACTAGGGCCTTAAGTGGAATGGACCAGCGTGTTTTTCTAGGATGTCACAATTTTCTAAAGTTTGCTGATTTTAAAACATTTGACCATCTAAAGCGCATCTTTCAGAATTAAACAGACCACAAATAGGCCAGCATCCCCTCCCTTCTAGCAAGTGCTCTCTGAAATTGCTAAAAATATTGCAATTGTTCGATAGGTTGTAACAATTTCACATGTACTTATTCCTACTCTATAATAAATAAGGCAGTGACCCAGAATAATACCGTGGCAAACTGTTTTTACACTGTTCCTGTTGTTATAATGTGGATTTGTTTTTGTTTTAATAAACTTGTGCTGGATTTTGATGTTACTGGTTTTTTTGATGCTATGTGCTTTTCTTTTTTCTTTTAAAGAAATGTTTTAATTTTTGTTTTTAAAAAATCTGCCAGTGTTTATAATACAACAATTGTTGTTTGCCAGCTTATGTGTGAGGGGGTAAGTAATAATGTAAATAAATAACCAATATTGGATTGGAGTCACTCCTTCTGTTGGATGAAGGGAACATTTAGATCAAACCCATGTTTTATTAATTTCATTGTAATCAGAGTGTGCTGGGGAGAAAAAGAATATTCATAGCACATATGTTTTTCAGAAATTTGTTTGTCCCCCCCCCTTTCTGTACAAATAATAAAATCTGAGTTATTTACAAAACTTTGGCTATGATTGTCAATAAATGCAGTCAGCAATTGAGCTTCATTCATGATCATTAGGCAGTTAGCACCATGTATAAATCATTGTAATGGTTCGAACTCATTACATAGATAATAGCCGGTGCCTTTGAGTGCATTTCCTTGTTTCTGTGAGGTTGAAGTTTTGTACAGCAATAACCATGATGGAACCGCAGATGAGAAGCAATAGTTAGATAAGCTGTATGCAAACAAGGGAGAATAAAGTAACTTTGGACCTGATACTGTATCCAGTGGTA